ATCCTGACCACGAGCATTTTAGATGGCAGAGCGACATCTAAAAGCGCCAGAAATTGGGTTGGCCAAATATCACGGTACAAGTTAAATAAACATTTAGTTTATTTTTGTTCCACTAGATGGCGCTCTGTCATCTAAAAATGCTCATATGAGCGATCAGAAATGCCCTTTTTTTGTTTTTATTTATGTATTTCTACTGTTCCCCCTCAAAGCTTATGTCCACAGTTCATCTAAAATACCTTTTTTTTCCCAAGAGTCTAGCTTCAGTATCGATATAATGGGAAAACAGCCAGATGCAATATTACAGCAATATGGTAGATTAAACTGGCGAAATCGCTGGGAGGGTTTGACAAATGTTACTATTTAAGGGTTAACACACAAAGTTGCATTAATCTAGGGCCTACAGTAAGATTAACTTAAACACAGAAAAATCGTACACTCAAGAGTACAACACACACACAAAAAAAGAGGTAAATGATAAAATCACAATTTGTTAAATGAAATAAAAACACACACACACACAGTACTTATCTTTATTGTTGCAAAAAAAGTCGTAGGACGTGTGGGTAACCCCCTCGATTCCCGACAGTCATGAACCGGGATTGAATCCCGTGTTAAAATTAGTGTAATATGTGAATAACCTTCACATATTATTCATTATTCAATTATCATGAACTAGGTTGCTCTTGCTGAGCGGTACCTATTTATGTGAATTTGAACCAGGCTTTATTGTTGCGTTGGTAGGGATCGGACCGGGGTCACATAGGTATGTGAGGAAATCACCAGACACGGATAAAGTACACAGAGAACACTTTAAGCGTCTCCACACGATAATCCACCACACTGGCCTCTCGCAATAGAGAGAAAATAAGGATAACCCGGGCCCCTGGAGAGCAAGATCGCCTCTCGCAATACCATAGCCCCCTTATATATACAAACATGGCCACATTCGTCCAATGAGAATGCGGGAGAGATTGGTTCACTATCAACCGATAACAAAATCCTTTCCACTAAAATCTGAGAAAAGATTTTTAAAAATGCAAATATTTGTCAATATAATTTGACAGGTTCACCACTGATGAGTCAGGTCTATCTGCTTATGTTGTTGCTTATTTATTTAATGTACTGTATATATTTATTCAATGCTCTTTTTCTTAATTATTTATTTTCTTTTTGATAATTCTGTTATATATATATATACCTACTCTACTACAATTATTGTAAATAGTTTCACGCGCAATTATCCAGATCGGATATAGCGTGTCTTGTTTGCAACTGGTAATTCGTAAATATATAGTCACGACCGTCTTTCCTCATCGGCCGGCCGCCTCTGTCACGGATGCGCGCGCACAGGGAGGTCACGTGCTCGCCGGCTCCCTCGAGCCGGATTTGAACCAGCGACCTAAGGATCACCGTTGTAACATCTACAGTCGGGTAAAACACGGGCGTTGCCCGGGTCATTCGGCTAGTAAATAAATAAATAAGGACAGTAGAAAATTATTCCATTTCTAAAAGAATCATAGGGGTCAAAAATAGTATAGATTTCATATAACAGATGGCGCTCTAATGCGACATAATATAAAATCTTTAAGGAATCCAGTCCAAATGGATTTTGTAAGTTCTAACAGAATATGCCTTTTCTATGGAATTGTTTTTAAGGCTGAACATGTTCAATAGCGAGAGGTATATAGAGTCTTACAATAAAATCAAACTTCCAATTAAATATATTGTCGCTTATATCAGCCTTCAAAACACCTACAACCTCCGCCGATAGATGGCGCTTTCGCCTGTTTCCCGTCTGGAACTAGTGCGGATATCGCCGACTGCTGTGGTCCTGTTTCCTGGGGTAAATGCTTGTAAATATCCGTTGATATTGGCCCTAGGAGGTAACGTAATGTAAATACCCGTTAATGGTTATTCTAGTTATATGTAATGTGTAAGAGAAATGACAATAACAAAAGGAGGAGTATTATAAGTCTTGTTGCCGGTTGCTGTTGTTGCTCTCGCCAACACCACAGTCGCTACTCTTCTGGTAAGTCTAATGACAAAGGCAGACGCATTCTAATTCACCCAGTCATGATGGTTGTCAAAGCTTGATACCCTGATATGATTTAGTGGAGATAAGAAAGAAGAAGACTACACACGGCTGTTCAGTAAACGCATATTTTATCGTTCTTCAACTCTATTCAGTGGTAAGGCCGAGAGATACTGCAAGAGGAAAGGATATCCACTTGAGTGGTGGTTCTCGGAGGTCCTTGGGTGGTCTGCAGGGTAGAGCAACCGAGCCTGGGTAGGTGAACCACGAGGGAAGAAGAGACATAGTCGCAAAGAACCAGAGGGGTCACGCGCGACAAAAATAAACAAAAAACACATCTTTAACTAGAAGAGTTGGTAGACGAGTGGTAAAACCCTCGATTCCCGACAGCCATGAACCGGGATCCCGCATTGGACACTTTGTTTTAATATATTGTCGCGAAATTTGTTTAGAGTGAAATTGCTGGCTCGGCAACCCTGGAGCTGACGTCACTTCCGGTGGAGGTAACCCTTGAAAGGCCGCGTAGCCACGAGACTTATTCTCTTCTCTCCTTGTTTACTATTTTAACCTATATATATTTCCTCCATTTTCTTTAGATAAGAGTTGAGAAAGATACCATTCAATTTTCGAGCCTTAATTTAATAATAAAACCTGCTGAAATAGCTCTGTGTACCTCTAATTATTCAATTGCGACAATTGGTGGAGATGCTGGGTAACGGGTATACGTCTTTCCTGGTTATTTTGTTTAATCGGCGGTAGTCCACACAGAACCTCCAGGTTCCATCTTTCTTTTTAACTAAAACGACAGGAGAGGACCAGGGACTATCCGATGGTTCAATTATTCCTTGTTTAAGCATTTTGTCCACTTCTGTCTGAATAATGCTTCTTTCTTTCGGTGTAAATATGTAAATAATAAACGTCCCGATGTGACGTCAGCTCCAGGGTTGCCAAGCCAGCAATTTCACTCTAAACAAATTTCGCGACAATATGAATAACCTTCACATATTATTCATTAGATAATAAAAAGGCATATATTGGATTGAATAAAAGATTTATTAGCCAATATTTCGGTTGGCTGAACGCCAACCTTTATCAAGGCATTGCATTTTTGTATACATTTGTATGAACATAATTCCACCTTCTTTAATTTTAAAATATCCTGTCCGCACAAATTTTTCTAGAAAAATATTATTTGAAACGGGAAAGAAACTTTTAAATGCTAGAATAAAAAATTGTCATTCTAATTTAAACAAATTACAATTAAATATTGAACAATTAATAATATATAGAGTTATCAGCGTCATAATCAAGCAACAATTCTTAATCAATTCTGTCACCGTTTGCTTTGTGAATGGAATAAATACCCAAATATGGCCATTTCTCATAACCATCGGTGGTTCAGTGGTAGAATGCTCGCCTGCCACCCGGGTGCCCCGGGTTCGATTCCCTGCCGATGATTTTTACCCGATTAAATGTTTTTATTCAAATACTAATAGTTACAATTATAAATTGGCGCCGTGGATGTCACTCTTGTGAAACGTCCCGCTCCAAACTTTGTGTCAGAGAAGCGATATTTTTATAAAGAGATGATCTGGCTTTGTGTCTTCTGCTCGAATGAATGTTTTTCTGTTAGAATTTTGTTCCTGCACACTAAAAATGAACTGGCTTCACCCGTGGTCTCAGCTTTTTGGAATTTTTCCCGATATAATTTTGTATCTGATAATCAAACATGATACAGCAATATTGGCATCATCATTTTCTGACTAAAAAAACAACTATTTTTGCCCAGAACCTGTCAATTTTATTTTTTATTGGCTAAAAATCCGATAAATATATTTTCCAGATTTTTCTCCATGTCCTGTCAAAACACGTTTTACATGTACATTACCTCAGCTGATATTACCTCCCATCTTCACCGCTAGAGGCGCTGCTTGCGAGCAAAAAGGCAAATTTGCGACGCAATTTGCAAATAACTCGAAGAATATTCGGGATAGAGACCTGAAATTTTTACTATAAGTTTTTCCAGATTCTACTCTATATACTGTTAAAATTTCAGTCAGATTAGTTACGTATTGTGGACGTGTATAGCCGACATAGATACCCACATACATACATACATACATACATACACTGACTTTTATATATATAGGGATAGATGGTACGTTATCACCCTATAATTAAATATACCTAACTGGCCTTGTACTTATTGTTTGCGGAAAATCATTGCTCGATGTAAATATTTATATGTAATTCTACTGTCATAAAAGTTTATGTCCATAGTTTGCTTGAATACCATTTCTAAAATCTCACCTTTCTTTGCAGCATATATAAGCAGACTGATCCAATACAGTATTAGAGCTCTAAGAGGAAGGTCTGTTAGATTAAATTGGTGAAACCACTGGGAGGGTTCATCACTGATGAGCTAAGCCTTCCCAATATATTTTTCTTTGCAGTAAGGACAGTAGAGAGAAGCTTTTTTTATGTGTAAAAGAAACTTTTGTGTTTTTAATCATAATTGTAATAGGTAAATAAAGGAATGACAATACATCCAGATGGCACAAGAACCTATTGAGCATGCAACAACTGTCCTGGTGTGGAACTAACACCTACTCACATATTCTCATGCCCAGCAATGACCGCAGCCTTGCAGAAAATTGACTTAGACCCAGAGCAGCAGCTTTACACACCCAAGATAGTGGATATTGCTGCTGCTGTGATGGAGATACATGGAGACATCTGAGGCTCTCCATTGGACACAACAACCACAACAATACAGTATACACACCCAAGATAGTGAATATTGCTGCTGCTGTGTTGGAGATGCATGGAGACATCTGAGGCTCTTCATTGGGCACGACAACAACAACAATACAGTATACACTCCCAAGATAGTGGATATTGCTGCTGCTGTGTTGGAGATGCATGGAGACATCTGAGACTCTTCTTTGGACACAACAACAACAACATCAACAACAAGGGCGGGAAGTCGTCTTTAAGCATTTTACTTCAAATTGTAATTATACACGCTATAAAAATGTCTTATAAAACAGTTAGTTGATCTGCCAGAGTTCTTCTTCCCAAATGTAACGGTATAAACCAGAGGTCGTCAAACTGCGAGCCACATTCGGCTCTTTTGGATGTGAACCTGCGGCTCTTTATATAGTTCCATATAATACAATGCGGCTTATGATTGTAAAACGACATTGGAAAATATCCCGCATGAGTTTCTTTTAAATGAAAAATCGAAATTTATTTTTAAGGAGAAATAACGATTATTTATAACCTTAGAGATGAGGTATGAAAGGATGAATTGTGAAGAGTAATGATAAACGGAAAAATAAAAGTGTCCAGGGATGGGAAACGAACCCACAGTGTTACGCTTACCGGGCAGATGCCATGTCCACTAGGCTACCCTGGTGTTAAGAACGGGGTAATTAAAAAAGCTCGTGGAGTAAAAGAAAAATTCGGAACGCTCCACAAACCCCCTTTTTAACAAAATAAAAACTTTAACCTAAAGTTTGATATTGTTTTGGGCTGCCTTGGGTGTTCAAGCAAGAAAAAAGGAAGACAACAAAAGGTTACACATATAAAGTTTTGTTTAATGTTAGCTATAAAATGAAGGATAAAAAATATATGAAAAACTTATTATTTTTGTGTATTCCAAAATTTTGCATGCAACTTAAATGTTTTTTAACAAAGAAAAATATATAAAATGATGATATTGACGAAATAGAATAAAAAACTTAGTAAAAATAAGAAAAGAAAAATACAAAAAAATATGTTAGATTAACATAAAAAATATATCAATGTTTAGGAAATAAAAGCATGTGAGAGAGTGCTCACCAAAAACAGTTCCTCTCAGTTGTTAGGTCGGCTTGCCCGAGCCCCCCCTGCCTTGGAAGCAAAATTAGTTGTCCTCAACGAACTTCCTGGTATCTTCAGATGAAGCACAATTCGTCGCTCCTCGACGAACTTCCTGGTATCTTCAGATGAAGCACAATTCGTCGCTCTCGACGTACTCCAACCACTATGCGAATCTCTCAACGATTCGTCTCGGCTTCACCTTTTCTTTGAGATGTCAGCCACTCAGTCCCTTCTCAGACCGCTTGTATGGTCGTTTATGGAAGATGGACGAAGATCTCGGAGCTCATCTTGGGCAAGCCCCCGCGAGGATTTTTTCTTGTCTTGTCGGCACAGCTGTGACACCAACTCTGGCCCCCGCGCCCTGACCTTTTTGACCCCTCCGCCCCTCCAATTGGTCGGTGGGTACTTTGGACTGTCCATCCGGCCGGTGGACGCTTACATTCTCTCGGCAGGGGGGGGGGGGGGGGGGGGGGCGGTGTGTGAAAAGAGGAGAAGAAACAGCAAAAAATAGATTCCCCTTCGCTGAGGGGTCAGACACACAAAAAACCAAAAATATGAAAAAATAGTTGTAATATTTACATATATACATACAATATTCCATGAGTTCTAACACCTGGACATATTTTTCCGTTTGTAAATAATATATGAGGTAATTTATTATACAATATAATCCCTGGACACTTTTATTTTTTCGTTTATCATTACTATTCACAATTCATCCTTCCATACCTCACCTCTAAGGTTAGAAATAGTCGTTATTTCTCCTTAAAAATAAATTTCGATTTTTCATTTAAAAGAAACTCATGCGGGATATTTTCCAATGTCGTTTTACAATAGTTCCATACATAAATATTATTTATGTGAGTACTATTTATTATTGGCAATAAAATATTTTGTGGATCTTTAAAAACTTTGATATTTTGTAAATTGTAATTTTTGATTCTTTCTACTCAAAAGGTTTCCGACCCCTGGTCTAAGGCATTGATTCATCAAATGCTGATCCATCACCGCTCTGCGGACAATTTTGACCACACTCCAAGATTTTTTAACCTCTCTCTCTCCTTTTTTAAAAATCTATTTATCTTTATTTAATACTATTTATTTTCATATTTATATTTATTCTGTATTTAACCTTATATAATCTTATATGGACTTTGAAATAAAGTAGTTTCAATCTCAATATCTCTCTGTCTGGCTTTATAAAAAATCTTTAAAAAAAAATAATAATGTAAAATTTTGCACGATATATCTTTACGTTAATGAATTAATTTTAGATATAAATTACGAATATTTTAACTGATGTAGTACTCCTATAATACCTAGTGAAGTATTTGTTAAAGACAAGCACAATAAGTCAACGATATTTTATCCACGAATTCTATCAATTAGAGTATTAAAAAGGTTAAGAAATACTGAGATCTAAGACATCATTTGGAATTTCTGAATCGTCTGTACTTTAAAATAAGAACGTTCTACGCCAAGGATCGCGTGAGAACTCTCTTACAACCTCAGAATCATTTTTAACGCCTTGCCAAATGTTTCATTTGTTCCTGTCGAGGACAAAAGATTGCTGTCGAAACGTCGAAATAATAAAAAGATTTACTGTCCGAAGTACTTTTAATTATAAAACCAAGGAAGTTGTAGAGCATCTCTCTTTTTCATCGCATCCCTATAGCGCTATATTCACACACACACACAAAAAAAAAAAAAGAGAGAATTTTCGCCAATTTTTTTTTTTGTAGGGAATTTTCAAAACTTCTTTGCGAGACGGATTCCGTTTCTAGCATGCCTATTCACCTGACATGTTGCACACTGCAAGATTCAAAATACGAATTTTAGATGATATAATAATTCCATATAATACCTAATAACGTTTTTGTTAAAAAAAAAAACACGCACATACAAGTCGGCGATTACAAGATTCTAAAGTGCGATATCGGTATGCAACTTTATTTTTTGGTTAGCCTTCAATTGAACTCTTTTTCATTAGGTACCTTGTGAAATATGCAGATTATATTCAATATATAAATTGCATATTGCTCAAAGAGCCTAGTGATGTGTATTTTTCTCGAAAGCTAGCTCAATTTTTGTGATAAATAAATAAAGGTAACGCTACTGTACTTTGGAATCTTTAAACTTTTAAAATGATAAAAACCAGCAATTTTTTTGATAATGCAATATACAACTCTGAACACTCGGATATTCCTGGAAAATCTCTTAAAGATTTTTGAAAAAGCCATGGTCTACCTGTCCTCTGTGAGCAGAAGAGCTTAGATTGACTTGTTCCATTATATGTATGTTCCATATGTAAATACTTGTTTTTTTTTTTTCCTCTTTTCGCTCTCCACTTCTTCCATCCATATTTACAATTTTTTTTTCTCTTATTTTCCATAGGATTATTCAAATAATAATCTGTATATATTTATCATGTGTATATAATCTTTCTCCATTTTTACCCCTTTGTATATTTCCCACTTTCATAGGTATCTCCGTCTTGTAACCCCAAGGAGAATCCTCTGTAAGACCTGTGTGTCTTAATAAAGGTTTTTGTGTGTGTGTGTGTGTGATAATGAAATATGTTTAGGATTTCTTAATTTGATGAAGCTATTAAATTTAGTCCATTTATCCATTTCTGTTGAGCTTTTAAATTAAATGAAGCTAACTGAAGAGAATTCTATTGCACAGAAACATTCTACAATAAATCCATTGGAATAGGACGTATTGTGTTATTGATAAACCAAATATTTTGGTACTTTTTCATTTACTATTGTTTGATTTTTCTGTGCATATGGCTATAAATCTTGTGTATAGAATATAAATTCAATATTACCTTCTTATAACATTATTTCTCAGAATGTATAGCACTTTTCATATTTTGAGAACATTTTTCAACTCTTAATACTCGTATATGCACTTATTTAAATATATATATATATAGATATACACACCATTATATAGATAAACACAACACACAGGCACCAAAAAGAGATAAAATCAACCTGATTATTTTAAATGTTCCTTTAAAAATATTTTCAGCGCCCATACAGCTATCGCCATCTATCGTGTATATTTTGAATTAAAGTTATAATTTAACTTTTGGAACATATTTTAGTTTTTTAGAAAATTGCTATTAGCCCCTTGTTTATTTTATAAAATTTTAATGGCGATTTTCAATGTAATAGGAAATATTTACAAAAATATGCAAAAGCCTTTTTTGTTTCATTTTGATAATGTTAGCTTTTTATCATTATTATTATTTTGATTCTTGCAACTAAAAACATTTAGCATTTTTTTAGTGTTTTAAAAAAATAATAAACGAAATATGTTGAGTTTATTTGCAAAATATCTTTTATGTGCAAACAGACGATTACATCTATAAAATAAAATGAATATCTTAATAAATGTTTAATTATATTCACAAATATATTTTTTTATAAATATAAAATAAAAAAATAAATATTAAAAATTCAGTTTTATTCATTTTTAATCAATTTTGAGGCCGACGCCCTGAGTCAGCACGTAAAATGAACCTAGGGTGAAGCCAGCGTCCTCTTTGTTGGGTGCAAGCAACAGGTGGTTGTTCAGTCCGCCATTGCCACAGATACGGAGCCTGGGCACGATGGTTCGCTGTCAGGCTTAAGGAGGCATGTCCTCTCCTTGTTGCCCTATGCCACGGAAATTATTAGGTAAGTTTATTGTTATGATACCTACCTTTTATATATTTAACTTTTATAAACTCGACCATATATCGAATTTATTTAAAATGTTAAAATATCTATATCAAAATCAAAAATTTAAAGACAAATAAATTTTAAATAACAATATCTTTATTTATTTTATAAATTAGTGCATTTGATGTATTTTATATCTTTTTATTATTTTTTGAAAGATGGAGTGTCAAATAATTAAGGTATTAGTCCTTTTGATTAAGTTTTGTTTACATTTGGTGGGAGCTTGGGGGCGAGCTTCGTTATTGTTTACCGCCTAATTGCTAACTTTTTGATTTTTTTGAAATACCTTTAAAAGTCAAAACATATTTACACATGATTTATTATTCAATTTAGATTATTAGTATACTGCTTCTTTTAACGAACCGGAACCACGTAGTGCAAACAACTTTATATACAAAGATTAAAGTGATTTGGTCAAGTACTTATAAATTTTTACGTACCGATACGTTTGCCCACACTTATCAACTCACTTTTTTATTTTTATATTAAAATGTAAATGTTTAAAATTTCCTTTTAAATGTTTATATTAAATTTTTAAAGCTAATTTCAAAATAGTGACTGAATGTCAATCTATTGTAAATATTGTCTATAAACAGTATCGGTTGATATTTAGTCAATTTATTATTATGAATTAATTAAAAATTCATAGAACAGTTTGTTATTTTAGAGATGCTAAAGGATTAATGTGGTAAACATCTATTTAACATCACAGCACAATAACATTGTTGTTCTTTTCAATACCTCAAAACAGAGAATTATTACATTCTATATCTCATAGCCTGTGATAGCTATAAGTTCAATGACAAAATGTCTTTTGATAAAA